ATATAATTTGAAGACTATGATAAGGACAAGGACAAAGTTAAGGTCAGCATTATTTATTAAATTATTATTATGATGATGATAAAGATGATAAAGATGATGAAGATGATGATGAAGTTGAGAAAATTACATTATTTATCCATGTTAAAGGTTCTATCATCCAATTCTCTGATTTCTTTGAAATCCTAATTTATCTTAATTAAATGTATTACTTTGTATAATTATTTTCAAGTTATTTCAAAGTGAACAATCATTTAAATTAAGGTTTCTGGTCCAAACTGTTTTCTCAAAGCCCAAACTAGTTGTATTTAGAACTATAAAAAACTGACATTGAATTGTGTAATGAATACCTTGACTTTTTAATAACTCCATAACGATTTTTGGGAAATTTCTGTGATGATCACCATTACCATTTAAAATAAATAATAAAAAAAACAATAAAACCGGCCTAACTGAACAATGTCCCAAAAAGTAAATCAGGGTTTCACAGGAATGAACTGATTTCTTTAAGTATAGTATTAAGAATAGGACATGGACATGATATGACAATGGTATGACAATGATATGACAATGATATGATATAGACAATGATAATGAAATTATCATTAGGATAAAATAATTTTTTGGGAACAATTTTTTTACTTTTGTTGGGTGTTTGATTTAAAAAAGAATCAAAAATTTTGATTGAAATTTGGTTCCTTTGATCCCTTGTAGATCAAATCAAATTGAAGTTTTCTTCGTGATTGATTCAATTAAATAAATGTCAGTTACTTTTTGTTAATATATAAAGTAACATTGTTACAAAATTTTACAAATTTTTGTAGAATTTGTTTAGTTTAGAACTAAGAATTCAGGATTTAATTTTTATTATTTGTTTGAAAATTTCTGAGAGAAAAGAGAAAAACAGCCTTTGATTATCATAATTGAAGCAACATAGCAAAACCATCATTTTTAAATTTTTTGGTGTAACATTTTAATTTTACCTAATACTAATGCAGATGGTTTAGATTATTAATAGATTACTGTAGCAAGTTTTTAATCGTAAATAATTGATTGGTTTAGATTGTTAACTAATTAGTAAAAATGTCTTTTTATATCTTGCACAAAAACTAGTCTTGTCAGCAGTGTGTACTCTTGAATTAAAAAAAAAATTATTATTATTTGTATTTTTAATTTAAATTGTGCACAAAAAAAAAATCAAACATATATTTTCATTCTTTGCTCATTTGTGCATGTGTTTCACATATGGTTATGATAAAAACATGAATATTGGGTTAATATTAACTCAATTTGGTAAATCACAATAAATAATACCAAAGTGGTAGAATAAAGTGTTTATGTAATCAAATTTGGTTGATCATGTCTGCGTTTAATTTGATTTCTCGTGTGAGTATGCTGATTGTAAATCTACTTTATTGTTGATTCAAGTTATAAATACTAGAGCCAATGACAACAGCATAATAGAAGTTTGTTCATGTCACATGCAGATCATTAATTTGTGACACAATTGAATTATATTGCGAACATAGTAATACAACGACTTTTTATATCTTATGTAACCTATTTTTTTTAGAAGGTACGTGATAAAAATATTACAATTTAATGTTTTTCATACCTCCTTCTGTATTTTTAGACATTTGGATCGAATGGGACCGAATAGATTCATGATCTAGATGAGAAGAAAAATTTATTATAGAAGAAGTAACAAATTAGCAATAAATAGTGGTAATTTCAAATAATTTTTTTTAATACTACACAATAAATGATTTTATCATTTTCCATATCATCAATTATTAATTTCCATATCATCAATTATTAATTTCCATATCATCAATTATTAATTTCAACATTGAGAACAGGTTAAATCAAATATGTTTAGAGATTAAATCGAATATTTTAATTATTAATGTATATATAAATAATAAATAATAATAAAATAAAATACATGGTATATTGTATATTAAATATGTTATATGTAAATCTATTATTTAAAAAAATTTAATCACCATTCTTTTACTAATTCAAGCGCATTTTCTAAATTTAAATTTGAATTAGGATTTGGTGTATTAATTTCTTCCTCATCTTCTTCCTCTATTTCTTCTTCTAAATCATCATCTGTTAAAATATCTGGTCCCTTTTCTAATCTTTTAACAAAAGAGTCAACATTATTAAACACACCCTTCTTATAAAACTCTTCACAATGTCCACATCTATTATGTAATTTATTATAGCAATTTGCATGGTACCCATGTCCGCATATTAATATTATTCCTTCATCATTTTCAAAAGGTTTTTTGCAATGGTCACATAATTCTGGATTTGGTGGAAAAGAAGTATGATAACCAGCAGGAAGGGACCTTATATCTACGTGTGCATTTAAAGTGGGCAATTTATAAGTATTATTTTTAACCTTTTTTGCTATATTGTTATGCTTAATATTATTATAAATTGAATGAAAGTATTCTAATAAAAAGAAACTTGTTTTTGTAGTCAGCTCTTCCAACATAGGTTCGCTATAAGGATAATGATGATATTTTTTAAATTGATTTATGAATGTTTGATCATGAAGATCAAGAAGATACGCTTGATTAATTATTGCTTCAGGTGAATGTAAAGAAGTTGTATTATTCCTTATTTGGCTATGGATGTTTTCTACATAGTAGTCATTAAAATTAATTAAATGTGATTCTATAACCCTACTAAATATATGGCCATTATCTTTCCAATAATAATAGTCGGACAAAAAGGCTAAAGGAGCTTTATTGTAATTTTTTCTTTTCCACCTTAAAGCCAAAGTCCAAATACGAAAGAGTGTTTCAAAGTATTCATTAAAAGAACCTGACCTGAACAAAATTGCATATATATCCAATGTAGCAGGTATTATATTATCTAACAAGTCTATCATTAATCTATATTCTAAATTTTTACATGTATTGGGAAATTTATTCATAATAACATTCGCAATTTTTTTCCACCCTTTACTTGCAAGATCTAATAGGAGGTTAATCCTCCAAGGCTTTGGTTTTTTTGCTAGGATTTTTCTTGACCCAAAAACGTAATGAAATAATTGATTAAAGAACTCCCAATGTATTATAATTATATATTCTCTTGAATTTAAAGATACATGTAGAGGACCAATCAATGGTACAAAATTTTTAATAATCTTATATTCATCGCAAACACTCTGACTTTGTTCTTGATTATTTATTTTTGTAATTGCCTTTCTTATAAACAGCTGTCCAGGCCAATCTGCTGATATAGCAATTATATTGTTCTTCAAATACTTTGAAATATTTTCGATTTTTATCAATGATAAAAGGACATCAACATAATCATTTAAAGAATGCAGATTTTTTTGTTGTACATTGACAATACGAACTTCTTTCATGGATCTATCTTGATGTCTTTCTAAGATTAATGGATTATAAAAATGAATGGTGAGAGACTCAATCCTATTTGATTCTTCTACATTTAAATTATTTGAAACCCATGTTGCTTTACGTGTGTTATAACTAATATCAAATATTCCTTTAAAGTCATTTAATAAATGATAGTTTATTCTTTGAGCCTCAATATTATTAGAATTATGAATGTAGACTCCATTATAAATCGCAGGAACTGCTTGACATTGCTTTATCATTTTAGAAACTGATGTTGCCATATGGTGGGCTGTAGAAAGAGTGGTAGTATTTGGTCTTCTCCATCCATGAATGGAATGATAATCATCAATATTAAAGCAAAATAATAAATGACTCTAAAAGGAATGTATATATTAATAATTTATTCTATTTATATTAAAATTTAAGAATAGAAACTGATATTACTTACATATTCACCAAAATTTTCATTTATTTTTTGTGGATGTTTTAAAGCAAGATCTTTTTTATAATTTTCAATTGTTTTATAACATGTTGTGATTCCCATATTTGCAAGTGTATCAATGGCTGTGCAACTTGCACCTGCTCCAACAAGGTAAATACCAAGATCAAGCTTTAAGGAATTGGTAAATTTGTTACGTAAACCTACTAACAAATAACAAAATACTACAATAGATCTTTTTGCTGCTTCTTTATTGCTTTCTGTCCTTTTGTCTGGAATTATGGCATCAGTCATTTCTTCAAAAAAACCTTGGAGTCTTGGATCACTTTGTTCAATCATGTCGGAAAATTTTGATGGATCTGACTCTATGCCCTTTTTAAATTTTCTTTGCTGTTTGTAAAGAACTTTACTCAACAGTTTTATTTTTGTTGCAAATGAATTATTTCCTGTTTCTATATCAATACCATCATCAATAATATTTGTGTCTAAGTTATCATCAACATCATTATTATTTTCAGCAACATAATATGAATTTTCTTCAATTAGCAATTGCAAATTATTAATATGATCCATTATACTTTTAAAATCATCTTTGGATACAATAACATTATTCTCAATAGAATTTATTTTAATTTTAGACCAATCTAAGTCATCTTTTTGTTTATTAGTTATAGCATTAATTGAAGATTCACCAACCAAACCACCTTCGGCCAATTTTTTATTATTTGTGTTTTTCTTATACTTCTCATGTCTGTCTGGCTCAACTATATTTAAATAATGTATCCTGTAGCATAATTGATCATCTTTTTTTAAAAATCCATATTCATTATTTACATCTTTAAGTCTAATTTTATTAATAGTATAATCAGTTAACTTTCTGAATTCATTATTGGTGTTAGTACAGCCAGGTATAACACATGGACCACAATTTTTTGGAGGCATTTTTGATTTTAATGAATTTGTTCAATTTAGTTTTTAAGTTTAAGAGAATATTTGTATTTCTGATAAATAATTTAAGAGAATATTTGTATGTATTTCCAATAAATAATTTAAGAAAATATTTTTGAAAAAATCTTTCAGGTTGGAGTTTTTTCTATTTATATATTTTTAATTATTTATTCATTCAAGTTGACAAAGACCATATTAAAATGTTTCATTGACATGAATGAAGAAAGAAAACAGACATGAGTTTTGATACTAGTATATTTTTAAATCCTTTATTCCGTACAAAAATGTTTCATTGACATGAATGAAGAAAAAAAATGGAAAAAGAATGAGTTTTGATACCAGCAAATTTTTAAATCCTTTATTCCATACAAAAATGTTTCATTGACATGAATGAAGAAAGAAAACAGAAAAGGAACGCGAGTTTTGATACCAGTATATTTTTAAATCTTTTATTCCATACAAAAATGTTTCATTGAAATGAATGAAAAAAGAATACAGGTTTTGGTTATCAACATTGAATTCTTTATTCCGTACAAAAAAAACAGGAGTTTTGATTATCAGCATTGCATATTTTTAATTTAACAAAAGACAAGGTGATTTTGTAAACTATAAACCTCTAATTTTTTTGAAAATTTTAATTATGAAAAAGAGTCAAATTGACAAAGAAAAAAAATAACTTTGGTTATGTCTGTCTGTGTATTATTATTTTCTTTATTCAATACAACGAAACGTATGTAACACATAATAAAATGTTGATTGTGATACAATGTGATAATTGCGAATGTCGATCAATATCAAACTTCTACTATGCTATTTAGAACATATTCTTTCGCCTATATTTAATTCATAACCTACTAGTTCAGCTTTTTCTTTTCCTTGTTCTGAAATATTTCACCATTTAGAGTCATCTTTTTCTATTTTGCAAACAGAACAAAAACCAACAGGCATTTTAGTAATGACTTGTAAATCAAGAAATAAAAATTGTTACTTCGAATGGATCCAGGTGGATCCAGGAATATTGAAGTGAAAAGAGTATACTTGTAAAATTTGAAAGGTTGTTATTTAGTGTACTTGCGCCCACCTCATAAGTGTAACCCATTGTCTATTCTAAAACAATTGAAAAATGATCAACATAATATAAATAATATAAAAGGAATTTACCAAATTAGAATTATTATATTTTTTTTTTTGTGATCAATAATAATTCAGGGATTGTTACAGATACCCTGTGATAAACATATTTGATTCATATTTTTTGGAATCTTTGATGACGGCCCGTCGCCGAAAATTTGATACTTTAGTTACATTTTAAATAAATAATAAGATATAAAAAATCCATTACTAAAACATGCAATCTGAAATTGATTCACTAAAGCAATGAATTTCTGAGCTTGAAACCAAGAATGCCGAGCTTTTAAAACAGGTTATGGAAGAGAATGCCAAGTGAGAAGCCGAAAATGCTGAGCTCAAGGCCAGAATCAAGGAGCTAGAGAAAAATAAAATAGATACTACTAACCTCAAGGCTGAGAACAATAAGCTTAATACCAGGGTTGTGAAATTAGAACAGTCATCAAACAATATTACACACGAATTAGAAAATTCTGTTCTCCACAAAGCATTGTCCATAAGGTTGTGGGCAAAACTCTTCCAGAAATCAGTCGCGGAGTTTTGACATGTTGTACACTAATTGTTTATTAGAGTTTTGCATTTTGGGGGTTTCGACAATCGACAGATTTTCAACAGGTTGCACATTAATTGTTTATTAGAGTTTCAACAGAGTTTCAACTAGTCACTAAGAGGTTTCGCCCACAACCTTAATCATCTGATATTTCTTCCAATATATGTGCACCCCCATCCAAGTCTAAATTGTTAGAAGATATAGAGACTGATAATTTCCTAGATGCGCAGAGTAAGAAAGAGGTTAGTGATATGATGAGAAAGAGGAGCAAGGAAAAGAAACTTCAAACTCAAGGGTCACATAATACCTCTTTACCAATGTCAACTCCGCTGATACCATCTGAAATATCAATTTCTAATGATGATTCACCTGAAGTCTTTGAAGCTCTGGACTTAAAAACCAAGAATCAAAATCAAAGTAAAAGCCAGAATGAATCACACAAGAAAAAGGGAACTGAGAATATTGCTCAAGTGATAGCTGATGGCATTCAGGATGCACTTGCGCACAGCTCCACTGATAATATCCATTCAGATTTGAATCATGTGACTGAAATTTCAGTGATGGGCCATCGTCAAAATTCTGATACAATCTCATTACTTGATTTAGCTCAATTATTTGATAAAGCAACTAATGCTGAATATTATGCTATGAAAGCTAACCAGGAAGAAACCTTATGCTGGATCAACTATGGAAATGAATTCATAATTCAGTATAATGATCTTATGAAAAATAGTAATAGCAAAATTGGTGAGAAAAAGGCAAAAGGTATAATTTATGATAAAATATTACTATTATCTGTGAAAAAAGATCCAAGGAAATAGGATTACAGCTTCCAGAAATCTCACGTAAAACTTTATGTAGAAAAACCCAAAGGGCTGTAAAGACATATAAGTTATTTGAAAAAATAGGCAAAGATAAAATTAAGTACCTTAAAACATATTGCACAAATTCTATTTCAGAGTTGACCAATGATCAAATTCAAAAGATTATCAATAATAATAATATTTCTGATCGTGATGAGTTCAATATAGAGGAGGAATCAAATCACATGACTGAAATTTCAACAACATCCTGTCACCAAAATCATGAAACCGAAATTTTGCCTGAGGTAAGTATATCTACCAAACCTCAAATCTCTAACTCTCTGTGAAAATAAAGAACTTACCAGAAGCCAAGGTAAGTATACCACTTGTATCTCATCCCAAAAAGGCTTTATTGGAAACTGAGGTAAATGCATTATCAGCATCTCAACCTCAAACTGAAACAAAGACTTTACCCAAGAAACAGAATAATCCAACCCATAACCATGCTTACTTTCATAATAAGATATTGTTGTGATATTCAGATCTATATAAAACATTTATTGCTGAAAAATTTGATTACTATGGAATTAATGAGGGGTCATTATGCCCAGTATGTAAACTAGATCATGAAGATGGGAAAAGTGTAAAAGGGTAATACCGAAAAAAAGTAATGTATGAACCCCTATGTATGTAATGTATTAGGGTGTGCAATGCCCTAATTAAATCAAAATTAATTGGTGATCTGTCTATGAATCGGGACAAATGATCTACATTTAATGATAAATTTTGGGTTAATAAAACATATCTCACTTTCCTCACTAATTAAACACCTTTATAAAAACATAAGTTTAGTAGAAGAGTTAGATGATGAAGTGTGAATGGAGCGAGAAGAGGCTGAAAAAGCACTGAATAAAGCCATGGAATGGAGAAAATGACAAATGTTTGAAACTGTGTTGAAGCATGATGCTGCAATGGGCAAACTTCAAGACCGAATAGATTTATTAGAAAATAATTTAGCTGCTAAAAATCAGGAAACAAACTGAAAAGATTATTTAACAACCAAAGAATTACCATCTTTACCAAAGAAACAAAAAGAAAATAGATTATGCAAACTCAAAAAATTAATAAGTAAAAGAAAAGGCTAAAGAGAAATTCCAGACTTTTATTGTTCAAAAGAACAAGTAAACCAATATGAGATTAGAATATAGAATTCTGGAAATAGCCCAGGGAGATGAACAAGAGTGTAACTTCTGTTTTCTAGAT